TGACGAGGTTGGCACGATGCTGAGGCGGCCGCGCTCTGCAGCTGGGCGGACGCCGCACTGCCCCGGCTGCGCGGGCTCTGGCTGTGGCGGCGGCGGCTCCTCTGGCCTCGACTGTCTGGGCTCCGAGAGCAACAGGACGCCCGCAGCCCCGGGGCGGGGACTCCGGATGCAGAGGCCGGAGCGTGGCTCATTTTCACTTGTTTCCCTACGCTGAGCATTTGAGAGTGCCTCCGGCTGGGAGACTCCTGCAGTGGCCATCTGGGTTAGGTAGATGATCTGGGCAGCCAGTTATTTGCGCATCCTGACGACGCCTGAAACAATCTGCCTTTGAGCAGTTGCCACATACGTGACGCTGCCTTCCAAGGGGAGAGTCGCTCTGTGCTCACGGCTGGCGCCTCTGCAGCCCGCGCCGGCTGGCGGCTTCCTCTCCGACGCGGCCGGGCGTCGAGAAGCGGCTGAGAAGCGGCTCCTCGCCCTCGGGCTTCAGCAAGGTCGGGTTAGGTGACAGGCGGGAGGTCCTGCATTCCCGTCCAGCAGGCCTCGACCTGCCCGAGAGCTGCCGGGGCCTTGGGGAAGGGCCAGCCGGGTGGCCACGCGCCCCTTCCCCCCTGGCCAGGCCGGGCCCCGCTGTCCCTGGCGGGGTGCTGTCGTCTGCTCGCGCTGCCCCTTTGGGGTACTGAGGCTCTCCAGGAGCTGCTGAGGCCGGGCGGCCCCAGGTGCCCGCCCCTCGGCCTGGCTGTGGCAGGCGCGTCCCCCGGAAAGCAGCCCTGGCCAGCCCGTCGCGGCTCTCACCGGGCCTGACGTCAGGCCCGGGTAGGGTCTGGCACTCTCCCGGGAGTTAAAGCTCGTCCAGACGCACGTGTCACGTCGGGGCAGTTCTGTTTCAGAGCTGTGTCCAGACGCCTCCTGGGAGCTGGCCCGCAGTGGCCGGTGAGCAGCACACTTGACCCACGCCGTGTCTCACAAGGGACCCCGGCGGCGCTGAGGGGCTGTGTCTTTGGCATGTTACTCCCGGGGCCAGCGAGTTGCTTGTAGGTCTGTGCTTGGTCCGCCCTGCCTGTCAGCGGGTTGTGCCCTCCTGCGCCCTGTGCCATTTCGTGACTCACACGCGCCGGGGTGTTGCTGGCGTTCACTCCAGAGGAGAGACAGCGGAAGCAGCAGTGGTGACCACCTGTTTGCCCCCGGTCAGGGTTTTCATCCTGGTAGAACTCGTTACGTGCGTGGCCCCCACGCTGGCCCAGCCTTGACCCAGGCGCTGCCCACGGGGCCGCTGCCCACAGGC